TATAGATGCTGTCCTAATGTGTTTTCAGTCTTCTTCAGAACTGCAGCCAGGAATGTTTTATTGCGTCAGTAAAAATTGTTTTGTTTTCAAAGAAACGTCATAGTTTTGCTTTTCTGTTTATCTTTTTACCTGTTCAAGAAAAATGATTATGAATCTTCTTTTTGGGTGTTTTAAAATTATTTGCCACTGCTAATGAGGCTTCTGTTTATTTTTTCAATTGTCCCAAGACATGAATTTAGTGTTTTTCTTAAAGCAATTAAAAAAATCCTTCACTTTCTTAAAGCAATTCACCCCTTGACCGCTTCTAATCAACTTAGCAGCAACCAGGAATGTTTTATTGTGTCAGTAAAAATTGTTAAAGAATGCAGTTAAATTTGTTTGGCACAAAACAAGGTATGGACCATCTTAGATAGTCCAACAGATGGTAGCAGTTGCTATATATGCATGTCATTGTTTTAGTTGGTCAGTATATTTGACCATTTTTATCTGAAAATGTACAAACAAATTGCTTTTGAAAGACACTTTTGGTTTTGGCTGTACTGGACTTTCAATAGACAATGCTCACTTCTGTGTTATAGGTGGATGGGTGTAATCATTTAACTTCTGTGAAAGTAATTGTTTGGTTCGTTATGGTAGCTTAAATTGAAAGGAAATAATTGTGCAATGAACCAGCAGGTCCAAAAGCAGTTTTCATTGAGCGATGTAGTTCTGCTGCATTGATTGTAACACCAACTCTGGTACAATACAGATGGTTATCCTATAATGTGTCTTCAAACAGCATTTTTAAAACTGCAACAAGGTTCTTGTAACACTCTTTTTAATCTAATAAAATCTTCCTGTAGGGGCTCTGGGTCTGGGCCCTCTAGTTTCGTAAAAAAAGGACATTATAATAATCAAAAGTTGTACTTTCACGTCAATTACAATGATATCTGTAGTGCACACTTTATTTGAAGTTGATTATTGTTATGCGATTTTGATTTGTAGTATTCTTTCCAGTAACTTAAGTTGATCTGTGTCTTGCTTGATCCTTTTGATGACAGGAAAATGGAGGAGCATAAACCAAAGGAGCAGAGGCCCAAGGCCAGCGAGAACAAGCCTGTGATGAACGAATGAATATCTCCAGAAACTGCGTTTAATGCGCAACCAAATTCGATGTCTGTTTGCGCTGTTTAGCTTAAAACCAAAGCTTCCAATAATCTTAGTGGTGTCTTAGTTCCTCCTTATATAGTGTTAATTGCTCTGCTTGAACATGGCCACAGTGCAACGGACATGAAACTTGAACTACCTATGAGACTACTATCAATTTGAGACACCCATGATTGACAACTTTTGATCAGCTCTCCTGTTACTGCCGTTTGGTTGTTACAAAATTGTGGGGTGCCACCATGTTTCATGCTTGCTTTTCCACCTTCCCATCCAGTATCTACTGGAGGTAGGGAAGTGGAAAGTATAGTTTGTAGGACGGATCTTCGGCCGTTGCATGGCATGGAAATCCATAATTTTGTGTTGGTTGCATGGAATCATGGTCTGATTTATTTTTGGCTCCCCAAATTTTGCGCTGCTGCTGTCCTTTTTGGTGTTGCTGTGTTGCATGTGAACCCTGAAAGCGTGGATCCCGGTTTGGCTGTTGCTCTAGCTACTGTTTGTTGGGCTGACGTCTGCTTTGATCTTACATGGTTGGTACTATTGTTCTTACAAGCAAAGGTGAACAACTGGAGTACTGGTCTGGTATGTGAGAACTGAACATTACCCACCGAAGAGTGTTGCACGGTAAAATATACTACGGAACAACAGCCTGTCGGTAGAAACAAGCTTGCAGTTGTTTGATGTGAAACCGTAACGCCAATAATTTGAGGTCACCTTTGATCGCCTGCCTGTCTCTGGTCGGGTAAATTATGAGTCGGTTTAGACTTTGAACTCCATCATTAGTAACCTACAGTACTGTTTTGGGGATCGTCCGACTCGGGCCTGTTCGCTAGAACTTATCAGCCGTACCGTTTCAGCGAAATAATAGTGTTTTTCTCTCATAACAAATCAACATCAGCCGTTTTTTCAGCCAGCTAAACAGGGGTCCAGTTCATAGACTGCACGATGTTGGAGAGATCTATCGTCCCTCTCCTCTCTGTCCGCGGTGGCGGTCTAGGCAGGTTGTTCTTCGTCATGCCTTGGATCATGGCAAATACATGTACAAAGGTTCAAGCGTTATTCTCCGTCGTACTCGTACCCAAAAATCTCACCATATATGTTTATGTCCAGCAAGCAGCCATGTCTCGGGCAATCAGACGAGGCAAGGCACCTACAGTGGTAGCGGGTCGAGCAAACAGGAGACGCTCGGAGAGGCCACAGCACATGGGCTGCTGGCCCCTGCCGGCAAGCCTCGCCTCGGCAGGAGTAGCGGCAGGCTGCAGCAGCGCTGCACGGGCAGCGGCCGTGGCAACACAGTGATGGCGTTTGGAGGGTTGCGAGCAGGCTGCGCCGCCCGCTGCAGATCTGAGCTGGGGGCGACCCCTGCCTTGCCAGCTTGCCTTGGCGCCCTTGACTGCTGACGTACCGGCGATAAGTAAACGTCAGAAAGGGCTTGTGAAAAATTTTGGGAACTAAACCATACGTACGAGTACGACTCGCACGTCCTGCAGAGTCTGAAGAAAAGGGTGGTGGTAGATGGACTGGCTGCCTCTGAGCTGACCAATCTTTTGCTGACAAATGCGGCAGCTAACTATTTAATATATAGATGGATGGATGATTGGATGGTTTAGGTACTATGGTTTAGGGCTGCTGCAGATAAACATTAGTCATATACCGGTGTTGCGTCAGCAATTTAATTCGTGGTCACTTTTCCTTTACGGTGCAGTAAAAGCAAACAAAGAGCCATTTTGACATGCAAATCTAGCTTAAGACACTTCTAACGGACATGTACCAATCTTTATATCACTTATAAGTTATATACGGCACGCGCACATTTGATCAGGTATGTCCACTTTTAAAAAAAAACAGAGTAATCTGCGTAATCGGTTTCATCAATCATCTATGAAATCGTTCGTTTGCTACAGATTTTCGCAATCAAGGTGCAATCATCTTCAATGGCCGACAGATTGCCATAAAAATCCTCGGTGATACTGATGAACACATGAACAGAGCCTATCACACCTATCATTCCACACCGCGAAGACGGGCTCACCCATAAAAACCCATCCTTTTCACACGGGTACTGTTCCACGAAAAGTTGACAACACACGTAGAACCCTAGCGACTCTAGCCTCTGCTTTTAGTTGGGATCCAACCTTTCACAGCGCCCAAAGTAAACCACCGGCATTATGGCCCTGATTGTGCAAGTGTCACCGCCGGTTCGGGCTCATTTATATATTTCCAAATCGCACGATCGATAAGTTGGCCGTCATTGCGAGGGGTAGGACGGCCCATGTGTTTTCATGGTACTGGACCCTGGCCCTCCCCTGTTTTTTCTACCATGTACCTTGGCAGCTTGATGACATATACTCACTCCGTCTAAAAAAACGTAATTCTACTTCCAATAGACACATGTGGTGTCCAGATTCAAAGCTAGAATTGTATTTTTTAGACGGTGTGCTAGTAGAGAGGATACTGTACTGGAGGCTGTTTTGACTGTGCAGCCGGTGCCGGCTTTATGGAAAATCTTGACAAATGATCACTGCCGAGTGACGAGCGACAGGAAAAGCTGCCAATCAATTGGACCATCCTGGCTGTTGCAGTCTGTAAATGTTTTTCACCAACTACTACTACTCCAATCATATAGGTTTATTTTCTTAGTGGTACAGCTTTTGTCAGCTGTATTTTTTCAACACGCACAGAAGTAAACTAAACTAAACTGTGTGACGCCTAGTCATAGATAATTTGACCCTTTTATGGGTTCTGATCTGAAAAGCGGATTTAACTTGAAAAGGTCGAAGGAAGTTGAATACAATTGTGTTGTCATACGAGTTGGTGTCGTGAAGGGAAGAGTGGTATCCTGGTATGCCGGCGGGAGCTCCTTGGCCTTTGAGCTGCGCAAACGAGTAAGGCAGCCTGCTCTCTAAAGCATGGTGGCAAAAGGAAAAAGACGGAAAGCAAGTAAGGGCAAAGAAAGAGACAGGTAAGGTGAATTATAGCCTAAAAATGCACGCTCGTCTTGCTCCCCTTTTTTCCTTCTACACTTCCACTGTTCCGCATCCAACTTAGCAAGGTGAATATGCACAAAATCAACTTATTTTTCCATCTGCCTTCCTAATAAACTGGACGTGCATGCATTCGCTCCATTGGGGTTTTAGGAAGTCGCCCACCCTCAAATTAGTTGTGCATTTGCTTTTATAAAGTTTTAGCCTTGAGACCGTAACAATAGAATCCATGGAAATGAAGAAAGAAGTTTTTACTTATTTTCTCGCGAACTGGTGTGTACCCGAATTTTTTTAAAGCGAAAGAAATTGTTTTACAGCATGTTGTTAGTCCCGCTACCTGAAGCTGGTTTGCGAGAAGCAGACCACTACAGTAGCGAGACTAACAACCGAACACAAAGCTAAGAAGTTTTTACTTACATATGCTGCAACGTTGACAACGGTATAGAAGTAGAATAGTGGTGCAATAGAGAAGTCCGTGGTAATCTGAGCAATGGATTTCAGAGTCCTACATAAATCCATGTCAGTGTCACCTACGAATCACCGTTAAACCTCACACCCATTCTCCCCTCTACATGGCAAATCTCCCCTTTATTTACCGTCTCCCTCTCCCATATGTTTCCTGACCAAAGCGTCTTCTTCCCCAGCATCTCGCTCCATGCCAAAGCCCACCGCGGGCAGATCACAACACGCCATGCCGGCCGCCTGCTCCCGCCTCCATCCAACACCGGAGGAGTACACGCGCGCACGGGCGCGCAGGTAGTTAGCTAGCGAACAAACCCAGCAGCAGCACACGCCGCCGCGCGCCGACAACAAAGCGATCTAGAACTAGAAGAGCACAGGAAGGAGCAAGGTGTTGCGAGCAAGTCGACAATGGCCGCGGAGCAGGCCCAGCTTTGCTGCGCCACCGACAGCGGCGGCGCCAGCGCCAGCAAGCGCGACGCCGCCATGCCGGTGGCGGTGGCCGTGTCCCTTTGCCTCCTCCACGACGCGCTCGGCGTCGCGCTGTTCCTCGCCTCCCACCCGCTCCACACCGTCTACCTCCTCTTCTTCGCGTGCCTCGTGGCGCTAGCGGCCTTCTTCTGGCCTCTCCTCGTCTCCACGTCGCTCCTCCTCGCCGTGCTCGCCACCGTCGGGCCGTATGTCGCCGGCGCCGGCGCTGGCGACTGGCCCCGCGGGGTCAGATCGTCCCTCGGCAGGACCTGCGGCATTGCCGTCGCCGCGCTCTGCGCCGAGCTCCGGCCGCCCGACGGTGCCCCCGCGGGGCTGGTCGCGCAGCTCTGCTCCTTCGTCCTTGGCCCCACCGACGCTGCCTCCGTTCTCCACGTCGAGGAGATCATGGGTGAGCCCTGCAACGTTATTATTACAGCTTCTTGCTTTGTGCCTGAGGTTGAGGAGGAGCAGAGCTTGTTGTTAATTGGTGGTGACGACTGCAAAGAGCCTGCATTTGCGCTCCCTGTAATGGATTACATTGGTGACAGAAGCTTCTTGGATTATGAGAGTTTCGGTGATTTGAAGGACAGAATCGATGAGAAACTTGTTATTTCCGAGGATATGAAGGGCTCTGATCCTTTGGCTCAGCAGTGTTGCTTGCCCAGAGACACATTATTTCTGCAAGAAATGGAAGCAGAGGAAGAAGAGAGCGCCATTCAGGGGCAGGACTTGATTTTGTCAGCCAGTGATGAGGTCACCGATGGTGTTGAGGAGAAGAGATTGGAGTGTGACCCAGTGTCAGTAGAGATCAAGAAATCCGAGCCAGTGCAAGTATTGGAGACCAGGAAATCTGAGCCATTGCAAGCAATGGAGATCACGGAATTGGAGCCGTTGGAACCAATGGAGGCCAAGGAACTGGAGATCAAGAAATTTGAGCCACTTCATGCAATTGAGATCAAGAAATGTGAGCCAGTGCAAGCAGTGCAGATCAAGAATTCTGAGCCTGCAGAACCACCTGAGGTCAAGGAATGTGAGACAGTGCAAAAAGTACAGATCAAGAAATTTCAGCCCACACTGGAGATCAAGAAGTCTGAGCCAGTTGAATCAGTGGAGATCAAGAAAAATGAGCTGGTGAAACCACGTTCTTTGATTGCCCAGCGCATCAAACTATGGGAAGCACAAGTAGTATCTGGCAATGCCAATCCATTTGTTGGGGACGGGGAGGAAAATTCAGTGGAATTCAGTTTGAAAAATAAGTCAGCAGCCAAGTATGGAAAGAAATGCGTGCGGTTTGAGGCTGATCCTTGTGCTGAGAAATGCGGAAGTAATCAGCAAGCTCAAATTGCTGTTTCCACTCAAGAATGTGTCGAACAACAGCAAGAGCAAGAGTTTAAGGATGTCAAAGAGTATATGCACTGGGAGACCGAAGCTAGTGATAAATGCAGCCAAGACATGAAGGCTGAAGAAATCACTCCTGCTGTCGTCGCACAGGCTGAACAAGAGATGCTGGAACAAGGCTGCAACGATGTGCAACCTGAGCCAGATTTGGAAGAGCTGGAGTACGAGATGACGCAACCTGAACAAGAACTTGATGAAATGGAGGAGGTGTACAACGACGTGACACAATCTCCAGCCATGTGGAATGAGATGGAGAGTCCACTGAAGTCGACATCGATCACCGGCCGAGTGCACTCGCGGGCCTCGTCGGAGAACCTCCTCAGCGAGGGGTCGCCGTCGCGGAAGGACAAGGAGTGGAAGAGGACGCTGGCGTGCAAGCTCTATGAGGAGCGCATGCAGCTCAGGCTGTGCCGCGACAGTGCCGTGGTGGAGGGCAGCGACAACATGGACATGCTCTGGGAGGCCTACGAGGTGGGCAGCGGTGGTAACAAGGGCAGAGGCGGGAAGCGCAGTGGCAGCAAGGTGAAAGGCAGCACCGGCAAGGTTGAGGATGCTGTTGAGGAAGGAGAGGAAGAGGAGGAGGACGACGACGACAACGAAGGTTCAGTGAGGCAGCTATGCTGCCTGCAGGCCCTCAAGTTCTCCACCAGGAAGATGAACTTTGGAGGCGGCAGGCCTAGCCTGTCCAAGATCTCCAAGGTCCTAAAGAGGATGACCGCATTGTCGAGGATGGGATCGCGGCGCAAACAGTCTGAATGAAGGTCAGCTGTTGTGAACTGGTGTGATCAATGGATGAATCTTCTTCTTGAATGTAGAACCGCTGTACTGTCACGGTACTCGTTGTGCTGTTTTCAATTGTATTTCTTTTTCCAGTTTGTGTATAAATGTGATACATATACCCAATGGTTTCAGTGAGGTTGGGGTAATTACAGGGCTGTCACTTGACCTGCAGAATGTAATAAACCTTAATCTGATGTGTGTAATTTTCGTGCTTTAAGTCAATGCTGTGTGCTTGTGTCTCTATCAACAATTACTGAAATGCGCTATGCAACCTCTCAGTTATACCTTGCTCTGGTTCCCTGTTCTGACTTCTGAGCCATATACAATGACAGTTCATCCCAGTGGCCAATCTTCAGCACATGATTTGATCAGAGTCAGTGCTGAAAGTATTCGTTTTTCTTCAACCATAATCAATAGGTGCTTCGCAGTACAACCAGCAAGCCACAATGCTGTGCCATTCTGCACAAGGCGTGCTGCATCGTGAAGTTTGTCCCTGCAATCTTGCGCGGGAAAGTGAGTCTGACAATTACATGATTTGGGTGGAAGGTTGATCATATTTTTCTACATGTCCAATTTCTGCACTGAAGATACCTCCTCATGGCTTCCTGTACAATTTCTGCATGCACGCCCGACGGCAATAATTGTGCAGCACGATCCGAGCATGCCACAGAAGGCCACAGGGGACCGATTTTGTTTTCCTTCAGGCTTCAGCTTGGGCACTCGGCTAATCTTATGTGCACTGCACTGCACCCCTGCCTTGCCCTGCTTTTTGGGAGCAGGCTCCCGTTGTTGCATGGAGGACCATTTCTTTCGCTCTCCAGCCCCAGCTCTGGGACTGGGAGGTGATGAATTCTACTACTGGCTGGCAGTACTGTGGTCCGTGGACGTCTGGTGCACCAAACGTTATATATCATTCCACGATGGGCATTGGCAATTTACCATAGTCCACAGCCCGTCGATCGAGTGCAGGGTGTTCTGATCCGTATGTTGCTTTTTTTTTTACAGATTTGCTAATTGATATCTGGTTGTTTTGGGTCCAGGTAGCAACCGTTTTTTTTGACCGCAGGATTCGTACCGGTCGCTGCCTCCTGCCGCCCAATTAGGCTGCGTCTGCCACCTGATCGTAGGTACGGGTTCGTGAGTTCGTTGCCGTACCTACGGGTTCGCTGCGTTCGTTTGTTGCCCGATCGCCCGAGGCCGTCGTTCGCGCACGCGGATGCCGGCGTCCCCGCCGACGTCGTGCGGATCGAGTGCCAGGACCTTTGTTTCATTTGTAAATTTGTATGTTTGTGAATAATTTGATGACATTTGTGAACAATTTGATATATATTTATCTGTTATTTGAAATCCATAGACAAAATTTGTATTTATTTTTTGAAAATTTGGCATATATTTGTATGAGATCTTATTTTATCCTCAAATTACATCACTCTATCTAATAAATTACACTGAAGAAGTCATTGCAAATATAGTAATAAGGTAGTGTAAATATAGCTATAACACAGTGTAAGTGCATGAGAAAAATCTGATGGTTGTGAGGGGCTAAAACAACCAATTATTGGCTAGACAGATTTTTTTACTAAAAAAGACTTAGCTTTCCACTGCTCTCTTCCTGCGCGAACATAAGGTCTGCCGACCCCACACCAACCTCAGTCCCCCAGGAGAGAGCCCTTGTGGCTTCTGAGTAAGTCTCTGTCACACGAGAGCCCTTGTGGTTTTCCACCCTCCGCCCCCCCTACTCTCCCTCTCCGGCAACCTCGCCGGCGTTGAGAGTAGGTGGGCCAGTCCTCCTCTCTCTGTATAGTGTTTCTTTAGTGCAATAAGTTGTTCCGGATGGGTGTTTTGAGGACATCAGTCCTCCTCACTTTCGTCTTCTTGGTGGCGGGCAGGCTTCTTGCGGGCATGGTGGCCGGCAGAAGCTTCCTCAAAGGTGATGAGGTGAGCTCTATAATAAAGCCCTTTTCTCCCATGCTTCTCCCTTGTCACTCCATGGTTGTGTGGGCTGCATGGTGCCGCCCTCATCCAAATCGAGCCAAGGCAGTGGCATGGTTAGCAACAGCTTCATCAACACCAGCGTCAAGGTCATGGTCACCCCCGGTGGCGGCGAGGCGGAGCGGGAGCGACGACGCGCCGGGGTGGAGCCACGCCCGGTGGAAGTTGCGGGTGTGACGGCTTGGCTCTTGCGGGCCTCCGACGGAGGAGGACTCCCAGGTGCCGAGGATCTACGTCAGGCTGCCAACGTAGTGGCTTGGCTCCTGCGGGCCTCCGACGGTGGACTCCCAGGTGTCAAGGATCTACGTCAGGCTACGTGACTAGGGGTGATACCGAAGCTACCGTGGGCACGGATGGTTGCGCGCGCCGCTACGACCACGACGGCGGCAACTGTTCGCGGGCGCCCTTCTCCACATCATCAAGCGGCGATGGTGTCTCGGCAGCACGTTTGTTTGGGGTGTAGGAGTCTAAATTGTCACATGAGATTGCTGGCAGACCAGTACTCAGTGGCTTTCCGACCTGCTTCACACGTATCCTAAAAACTAATGATGTAATTTGTATGATCATTAACTAATCTTGGTATGACTATAGTAGACCAATGCCTGCTCGACTTAGGATTATTTTTTTATTATTTCTCTTTATTTTATCCTTTGAGGAATGCCAAGTGTGTGTCCACTATCTTGAAATCACCGTTTTTACCCCTGCTATAAACATTGGTGTACTTGCAAGCATTATTATTCAATTTCGTATCCATACTAGACTCTTAATCAAATGCCTTCCTTTGGAAAAGTATAAATAACGATACCCTGAATACTTTCGGGTGAAATGCTACAATAATAGCTCCGTGCGCTGGATAAATATCTAAAATTGTTAAGGAACTATCAAGGCTATTACTTAGTGACATTGCTGATCACTAGTGATGTTGCTAAGTAATACCAACAAGGCACTTTTGACACCGTTGCAGGAGATACAAACCTAGTAGCGATGCTCGGATTTGCTAATCGGTATTTCTGGTGCCATTGCCAGAGATGGATTCTAACCCCATTCTTAGTGGTGACGCTAAGAAACGCCAACAGCGGCGGGAGCGGTGGTCCTCGGAGGCGTTCGGGCGAGAGGGGGGGGTTCGGGGGCGTTGCGGCGCGAGTGGCGCTGCTAGAGGCGTTCGAGCGAGAGTGGCGGTGCAGGTGCGTTGCGATCGAGAGCGGCGGCGTTGCGGTCAAGCGGGTAGGGTTGCGGGTGGGTGGCTGGCGAGCGACAAGGGTTATGGGGCGTCCAGCGCCCACCCTGAGGAAGTTTAGCCTAGCTTAGGGTCTCTTTGGGAGCAAAAGATTTTAGCCCAGTTTTTAGCCATTTGCTTATTTTTAGCCCTCCTGATTGGATCCCCATGGCAAAAGAAAAAAGGCTAAAAGTGTAGGGCTAAAGTTTTGCCATGGAATCCAAATAGGCCCTAAAATGATTAGGAGTTAAAACTGCAATTTCATATATGAGGAACACTTGTGTAATTTACTCTTCATTTTAATAGAAGGCAAAATATGTTCTTTTAAAAGAAATACACAAAAGAGTACCATCGCGCAGCATTGTGTATATATAACATAATTTGGCTAACAGCTCCAACAAAATCTAGCAAAATAGAAATTTTTTTCCTCCCCTTTAGTTTACGATAAGGATGACTTTCTTCACCACCTCTCCTTCTTGGAAGTTTTTTTTTTTAATTAGGTCAGAAGAACCTGTTTTCATTACTCTGAACCCCACATGTCACCACTTTGCTCGGTTTGATCTTGCGTATGTACCACACGAGCCCCCCAACGCCTATGGCTGCAGAGATCGAGGCGACAGCGCTTGCTGCAAGAAAATTGCCCAAAGTCGTATCAGAAGACAGGTTAATTTGAGCTGCTACGAGTAGCTTATCTCATCAAAGAATCAACCCAACAGCAGAACATCGCTTTTGGGTAACAACGAACTGTCAACAAGAAATTAAAAGAACAGTACTGGAGTGTAGTGCTTGGTTCCATTGTTATTTCTTTTTTCCTCTGTAGTTGCTTGTTCTTTTTGTGGCGGCAGTGTTGCTATTCTTTAGTGTTTTTCTTCACTGAAGTTTCTTCCATTTTTTTTTGTGAGCTTGAGTTGTGTGTAGTGATGTCTGGTCGTTGTTGCAGTTGGTAAGTCAGTTCTTGTAGTTGGTTTGTACCTCTTTTTCTTATAACAAAAATAGAGTACGTGGCAAAGCTCTTGCCACCCTTTCGAATAATTAATAAAGAAAATTGGAGTACAAGTAACATTGTGCGGAAGTGTAGTTCTCACCAGCAATGACTCCTGCTGATCCATGATGCCCTGAGCCGTGACCTCCTGCAATTATTACAGGGCGCAGATCATGATACAGATTGATCTATTGCAAATAAACTCAAAATTCGTTTAATTAAGTGAGCCAGGGTGAAAACAGAAGAATATGCATGCTTGTTGACTTGCTGCCAGTGCGCACTTCCATTTTATCCATCGATAAGACGATTATATATTATTAAACAATATATTTTCCGCGACCATATAATCTTGTCTAAGCATCACCCCTTTTGATATGATCTTTGTGTTGTCCAACGACGCACACAGAAGCCAATCAATCAAAAGTAATAAATAAATAAACGCACCTGCACAGTCCGTCGAGGAGTTGCGTCCGTCGCCGCAGATGCAGACGAAGTCCCTGGTAGCCGGGTCGAAGCCGCACGTTCCCCCGTCGCCGCGGCGCTTGTCCTGGCACTGCAGGCACCGCGTCGTGATGGGGACCTCGAAGTCCACCCGCACCCCATACGCCGGCACCTGGTCGTAGGGGGCAAACTTGTCCCCGACGGCGCGCCAGTACACGCTGGTGTACGCCTCGCAGTGCCGTAGCATCGCCCGCAGCGACTCCGCAGCGCGCGGGCGGTACGCGCAGCAGCTCATGTTGCTCTCCTCCAGCGCGCCGCGGCAGCCCGGCAGGTTCCGGCACAGGTACC